ATCATTTCACAATGTAGATCAGGACATCAGCTTGTGCAACTCAAATGCTTACAATTTCTACATGTCAAAAAATTGTCACCAAATAAAGAATTCAAATGGCAGAATTTCATTCTTTTTTATGGCTGAGTAGTATTCCATTGCGCACACATACCACAAAAGACCAAAAAGAAGGAAAAAAAATTATATAGCCTGCCCCCAAGCCGAGGCAGACCCCACAGTCAGCACCCCAAACCCTTCCGCGGGGGACCGTGCGCGGGGCAGGCGGCGTGGGGACCGGGGATGTGTCTCACCTCAGTGCGGTGACCCTGCAGCCCGCGTATCGGGCGCCCAGGCTGCTCCTCTGGAACAAAGGGCTGAGCTGGAGAGGAAGGAAGGAGCCAGCGTGGGTCAGAGGCCGGCAGCAGCCCTGGCACGGGCCTCGAGGGGTGGTGGGGTGGTGGTGGGGGGAGCAGGCCTCTCACCAGGTGCTGCATGACCCTGTCCGTGATGTTGAACTTGAGGGAGCCGGGGCGGCCCATGTCTGCAGAGTAGCGTAGGTTGTCGATGGTGAAGTTCAGCGTGAAGGGCTCCTCGCTGGGCTCCCCGGCTACGGCAGGGGGAGAGAGCAAGACCGCAGCGGGGACAGTGGGGTGGGGGCGGGGCAGTGTGCGCCGCAGGGTGCGGCTTCCAAGGGCCGCTTGTCTGCCTCCCATAAACCCAGGGGGACTTGTTAATGGAGACAACTTGATGATGGGGGGTCCAGATGGGCCATTTCCACCCCCATGCAGGAGGGGAGGGCTCTGTGTAAACAAGGGTGGTTTTTTTCTTTTCTAGGGGGAAAGGTTCCATATGACCAGGCTGGTGCAGAATTGGGGACCCCAGACATTTTCATTCATATTTCTGCTCTCTGTCTCTACTGCTGTCCCTATCTCTGTCTCTCTGTGCCTCTGACTCTCTGCCTCTCTTTCTGTCTCCATCTCTTTCTCCTGCCCTTGCAACCAGCTAAGCCTATCTTCTATGCACTGATTAAAACAGCCAACCATCCCAGCAGCCATAACTAACCCCCTGGCACCTCGATTTACTCATCTGTAAAATGGGATCATGATAACGGTTCATAGTGATGATTTCTTTTCTTTTTTAAAAAAATCATAATGTAATAAAGAGTATTTGTTATTTTTAAAATTTTTATTAGTTTTGTTTATTTGTATTTATGGGGTACAGAGTTGACTACCAGTATTTGCATACAGTATGTGATGATCAAATCAATATTATTAGCATGTTCGCCATTGCAAATTGTAATTACTTTCTGTGTCCCTTATCCAATTATTCCCCATCCCTCCTCCCCCTTCCCACCTCAAGTAACTATAGGTTTGTTTTCTCCTTCTGAAAATTCAACGTTTTGTTATGGTCTTTCTTTCTTTGTGTCTTAGCTCCCACTTATGAGTGAGAACATGCAGTACATAATAGTTTCTACCTCCAAGGTTGTTATGGGGCTTTGGTAAGTTCATCTTTGTAAAGTGTATAAGCACTGCCGGGCACGGAGCAAACAGTATGTGTTTATTGCATAAAATCAATAATATCAATGAGCAAATGCGTTCTGATCACTTACTGTGTATGGAGCTTTACTATAAATATGAGCTAACGTTTAAGATAAGCTCCTGGGAGAAAAGTTTACCTCTCCTTCTCTCCCTCCCTCCCTTCTGTCCATACTTCCTTCCATCCCTCCTTCTTTCCACCCATCTGTCGCCCCTTGCTTTCTCCCTTCCTCCGTTCTTTTCTTCCGTCTCTCCATCCTT